CGTCGCACTACCGAGGTCTGTCTATTTAAAGATAGTTGTGTATCTCTGTACGCTCTGTACGAATGTCTCTGTAGCTATTTAATATAGAATATGTATAGCATGGTGAAAAATAGCACCGAACGGTTTGTTTTGTGCACCACACTTAAGATTTACCAATGTCAGTGTTACGGCAGGCGTCTCACGGGCAAGGATGTAGGTATGGTTGTTGGATGGAGGTAGAACTGTAGAGTTCAGAAGTTGTTTCGGTCGTTTGTTGCTAATCGTAAGTTCGAAGCGTAGCGACGAATTTTCTTCCGTGCTGCCGGTTAAACAGTATTGCGACAACAGTCGCGACGAAGCTCATTCAATCCGCACACTGTTCGTATTCGTTGTCTCAGAACTGACTGACCTGTATTTCTTTGATGCGTCTGTTCCGCCACAGCGTGTCCTTGCTGTGCCGAATACTGCATTTCCCCGAGGTTTTTTCGCATTGAACATTGACTTGGCCGGATCGAGGCTTTGTTTGTTTTTTTCCGAGATACTTCGTTAGCACGTTCCTTTCACACTCGTTCGCGATCACTCGTCTCTTCCAGCTTGAGAGGTAACTCGTCTTCCTTTGAGTGTCATCCCTGTTAGTTTTCTGTAATATTTTCGGTAGTAATTTGTAAGTTCAGTCTAGCAGAATTTATTCAAGTCACTAATGAAGTATTGGGCATATTAGAACGTTGGTATGGCAGTTAGAGGAGATCAATTTTATATACTACATTGATATTTTGTTAAGACCTTGTTTCGACATTATTCGTTTTACAAGTTTGTCTAAACTTCGCTAGAACTAAGTTTTACCACTAATAATGCCAAAAATAAAATAGGTGAAACAAAAAATCAAAATATTTTTAATCTTAGACCTTAATTAATTCTCCATTATCATGAAAACTTTAGTGAAGTGTAGCCTGGTGCATGCAAATAGTATTTTATCTGTTATTATAGGAGCGCAGTAAACCTCGATCGGTTCAATCCAAGTTGGTAGCCACTCTCGGCCTGCGAAAAGCGGATCGTTATTTGTTCCCACAGTACCACGCAAGCTTGTTGTCCAAGGGCAGCGCAAGTGGTAGTAGTTCCAGGTCATCAATGAGACTTGCTTTCAAAGGTTTTCTACCATTCGAAGGAATCGAAGAGTTAGTGTATCTAGCCCACATTCACGCCGGTGACGATTTCGTTTAGGCCGGAAGGTCCTCGTTTGCCAAGCAGATCAGAGCCGAGGATATCGAACAAAGCGGAGGCGTTTAATAAGCCGATCAGAAAAGCGAAGAATTCGTACGCAGCAGATATTTTCATCGTCAGTTGTTTTAATAAAAGTTTTCAGAAATCAGGCAGCCAGTGCCCCTGCCGAGAACGATCTTCTTGGCAAAATCTTGGAAAAGCAGGCGGTGCTTGGTATTTCAAGCCGAGATTTGACGATCGGCAAGGACGGCAGCATTAACGTTAAGGACGAAACACAGCGGAAGCACAGTAGACATGATGAACTTAAAAAACGTGACGATAGAGCACCGTCTTCCTCAGCCTATGACCATACGTGGAGAGATCGGAAGAAAGAGATGTCACGTGGCGGCGGCGATCTGCGCACAGTGAAAGGAGAAAGTGCTAGTGGTGTGGCGGAGCGTCGCTGTTCACACGTGGCGTCGTGCAGCAAATCTGTGCAAACGCCGCCGGCTCAGCCAAAATCTTCACTTCCTTTTAACTCAGTGGATGGCGAGTCGATGGACCATTCTGAAAGCGAACCGCTTCGTTCCGAGGCCATGTATCCGCGAACGGATAAAAAACTGCTTCCCCCGTTGCCACTTCATTTGATACCATTTCCTACAACCCGATTATTAAGTGGTAATTGTTTATGCAAATTTTTTTTATTTCAAAAATTTACATTTTCTTTAATATTAAAGTATTCTTATGAAATATCAGTTTCTCAATAATATTTGTATTTGAGATGTGAGCCGCGATAAAATGGTAAAAGTGGCAGACTTAGGTCAAACCGCATCACTTCCGAACCTTTTGTCTACTGATTCTAATA